CCCTATGCACATTTTATCATATTACAATTTTAACAAAATGGAAGAAATAGTACAGTGGAATCATGCATGGCAAATCTCCCCAAACACTGTTTTTCTTGTTATGAGATCTCCTCCGCAACCGTAAAAGAAAGCGACAAATTTATTTTTTCCAAATTGCTCATTATATCCTCAGAATGTTACGTTTTATTTGACCGAAGCGTTACGAAGACTCCATATGAGAGTCATTCCCCCTTATGTATTTGAAATAAGTGATATGTATTTATAACTTGTAAACCATAAGTGATAGAGACCTAGGGTATTTTGATTTGAGGTCCTTGAACCACTAAAAAAAAATTAGGTCAAGGTCAAAGTTGAAGGTCATGTTATAAATTTAATTTTGGCTTGTTATTACTTATTTTCAGAATCCGTATAAGATATCGACAAAATATTTTTACTAAATTGTTATTTGCGAAATGTCATTACACATTAATTTTGGTTGGAAGGGTACGTTAACATAAAATGGGAGTTTTCTCCCCTCTAATATTCAAAACTAGCTGTATGGTGATATAACTCATTATTTATATATAGTAGATACCTAGGGTCTTTTGATTTGAGGTCCCTACTTTATGACCTTGAAATTTAGGTCAAGGTCGTAGGTAAATTTGACGTTCTAGATTGTGACCTTTGCTTTAACTTTATATTTGTTAATGATAGAGCCAGGGGACTTCTTGCATTAGGTTGCAATCCATATGACCTTGAAAAAAGCCACCGGAAGTGAACTTGTGTGAACCGAAAATAGCTATTTTTTGTACTTATTTAATGTAAAAGTATATAGAACCATATATTTTTGGATTCAATCATATTAAACCAAAAGTGACATTTTTCAAACCGGAAGTAACAAATTAACTCCCTTATTTCAAACAAAAGTGTAAAGAAACCATATATTTTTGGAATCAGCGCACAGTTACTTAGTAGCTATCATCTGACACTGGAAATGATATTTTAAACTCGATTTTTATATATCAAAATACATGTTTTTTTTGGTGGAAAGACCTTCAATTGTTCTCTGAACAATTGGTTTTTAATTACTTTGTTTTCTTCTTCCGCCAAACCCTTTTCTTGCGGTATAAAGTTGTTTCGCAAGATGTCGCTTAGATATTTTGGATATTATATCGAACAGTTATTGCTCTTTTAAAACTCATCTTGTTAGCCTAAGACTTTTTTATTTTAAGAGTTATCTCCCCAAATACTGTTTTTTTCTTGTTAGTGTATCTCCTCCGCAACCAAAAAAGATATCAACAAAATTCTTTTTCATATTTGTTCGTTACATCCTCAAGAATTTTTGGCTGATTTGGATTGAAGGGATTCGGTAAATTCCTATAGGATTTATCTACCTTTACCAAATAAATTTGTTGTTATGATTTTGTAACTCATAAACCGTAAGCCGTATAAACCTAGAGTCTTTTACTTGAGGTCCATGAGTCCTAACTAAGAAAATGAGGTCAAGGTCAAAGGTCAAGGTCATGTTCCCAATTTTGACTTTTGCTTGTTTTTGCATTTTCTATGACACTTTTAAACTTATATATAAAAGAACTAGTGGAAAATGTTTGCTTCATAGTGATTAAGATAAGATATATTTGGTCTGAAACAATCCAATGGCATCTTATAGGAGTTATTGCTCCTAAAATGTTTTATATTACTTCAGATTGGTACATGATAAAGCCATAAGGTCTTTTGCAAAATGTTGGGTGACATATGACCTTGGAAAATGTCAACGGGAAGTGACCTTGATTGAACCAGAAGTAGTCATTTTTGCACTTATTTCATGGAAAAGTACCTAGAATCCATATATTTTTTAAATGGGCATACATAAACCTATCATTTGAGACCGGAAGTGACATTCTATAACCCGAAGTAGCAAATTATCTCCCTTATTACAGGCAAAAGTATAAACAAACTATATATTTTTGGAATCAGTGTGAATAAAGCTATCATATGAGACTGGAAGTGACATTTTCTCAACCGGAAGTAGCAAATTTTCTCCCTTTTTATAGGTAAAAGTATATATAAACCATATATTTTTGGAATCATTGTAAATACTGAGACTGGAAGTGACATTTTCTTAACCGGAAGTTGGCAATTATGTGCCTTATTTCAGGCAAAAGTATATAAAAACCATATATCTATTGAATCAGTATAAAGAAACCTATGATTGGACGCCAAAAGTAAATTTGAGTAAACCGGAAGTAGCTTCTTATCAATTTTTTAGAAAATTGATGCGGAAAGACTTCAATTGTTCTCTGAACAATGGGTTTTTAATTATTATTAAATTCTGCTTGCCAAAGTAAACTGAGCAAGGGTGGATTTTACACCGCAAGCTATCAAATGTGGTGGTGAATAATATTAAGGAGAAGACTGGATATATAGTATCTACACAGAGATACATTATTCAAATACTGATACATTATTCAAATACTGATTGAAGGCATTATTTGTTTTTTTTTATTTCGACTAAAAACATCATACAACTTTTAGGACTATCATAAGACCATACTAAGACACTTATGTAAAAGCAATATCTGTTCATTGTCGGAAAATATCAAATTTATTTGTATGAGCTTTAGAAACAGGATGAAAAGCGAGGCTCGCTGCATGAGAAGCGAGTAATTTCGAACAATGAACATGCAGATCATATTGTTTGTATCCTGCAATTTACATCCGGCACTTTAGTTTACTGAGGTTTAGTTGTTTAAATTCAAATTGTTGCATCTGATTTTCGAAGAAATCGACATAGTTAAAACGCGGACCGCCAAGAGAACCTCAAAATGAACTGTTATCCAAGAAGAAAATTCACGTAATGGATGCGGAATAACAGGAGACTTTATAAGTAAAAATAAAACAAAAAAATATTTGTGTACAGGATATTTGCACAATAGAAGACTGATTGCAGGATACATACTATTTAAAGGACCAACTTTAGGACAAATCTTATTTTAGGAGACCTTTGTTAATCTAACTTTCTATATATAGGACTAAGACGTGTCTTAAGACCATTCTAAGACACGTCCTAGTCCTGAGACAGCTTCGTTGACACGACCGGCCTGGTATCTATGACGAGTTTATTATATGGATAAGAGCAATCACTACATACAATTGGCCACGGGGGAAATATTAAAGAACATTTAATAAATCTCAAATACGAAAAAAAGGGGGATTCATTTCTGTGATCTCTAACTATGTGTATAATTTTAATCACGTCTTTATCATTATTATACACATAAGGGGATGTGGTATGATTGCCAAATGAGACAACTACCCATCAGGTGTAAACAGCTGTAGGTCACCGTACGTCCTTCAACAATGAGCAAAATACATGCCGTATTGTCATTTGTAAAAGGTCCAAACATGACAAAATGTTACCCAATTCAAACGTAACCCCTATTTATGACTAAACAATTATAATGAAAAGCAAATATGACAGAATTACACCAACAACAACTGAATTATACAGGCTCATGACTCAAGTCTAACACATACAGAAAGTTGAGTGGTTAAACATGTTTTTGAGCGCTCAACGCCCCCCCCCCCCCCCCCAAAAAAAAAACAACAAAAAAAAACAAAACAAAAAACAAAGCATTTGAAGTCGTATAATTAATGGGGAAAAACTGATTACCGATTTTTGGTGTCTCCTTTGAGGTTCGTCAGTTTAACAAAAATATGTACTTAAAACGGCAATTTTGCTTTATATATCAAGCATCCTCTTTTGTTAAACAAAGACTTGCACAACCCTTAGAATATCGCAGAGCCGAGCAATATTTATTTATTAAACATTATTTTTTTATTTTTTACGGTGGTTTTGTGTTGCTCAAACTTTATTTTTCTGCTAAAGTGATTTGTAGAACGTTCTTCGAATGTTCAACATTTTTCTGTTGGCTATGTTGTTGTGTTTTATTTTTATTTTTATTTTATTTTGCTTATGATTTTACATTGCGATCTATGTATTTTCTTCCATTTGTAGTATAGAGAGGATAACGAGCTTTTAAATTTTTCAAGTATTGACGTAATCAAAGGGTACTTAAAAAAAAACTAAAATGCAAGGTTATATATATATTATCCTTTTAATTACACACACATATAATATGTATACATAATATAGTTGGTTTTTTTTCTTGAATTTGGAATATAATGAATTGCTAAACATGATGTTATCGATACATCCCGTCCGTCAGCTTGTTTCTTCCTTTCAATCCATCCGCTTAACGTCGCACGATGTAATCCCAACATTTCAGGGGGGAATATGATCCTCAGAAGCGAATATGAAGATTTTTTCAATGACACGTGGGATAGTCTCAACCAATCCAATATTGATTAAACTATCAAGATGTATAAACAGTGGAATAATATAATTTATTACCAATGAGACAACATACAACAAGAGACCAAATGAGTCAGAAATTATCAACTATAGGTCACTGTACGACCTCCAACAATGAGCAAAGCTCGTACTGCTTAGTAGCTTATAAAAGACCATGTAATGACAAATATAAACAATTCAAACAAAAAAACTAACTGCCTAATTTTTGTAAAAAATAATGAATGAAAAACCAAATATATGTATTGTAGTTTTCTTTGTTTTTCCTTATTATATCACTATGATAAAAGATCAAATAGATATAAGAAGATGTGGTATGAGTGCCAATGAGACAACTCTCCATTCAAGTCAAAACTTATAAAAGTAAACCATTATAGGTCAAAGATCGTCTTCAACACGGAGCCTTGGCTCACACCGAACAACAAGCTATAAAGGGCCCCAAAAATTACTAGTTTAAAAAAGTCAATATCAATAAAGGAATATTTTGTTGCATCAGATTAATGTAGTTATGTTTTATTAGTACAAATGTACTGTACTCTACTGTTACATATTCATTTGTTACTAATATTTTATAAAAATCAGTTCATATTCTAGGTATATTGCTACATCTGAAACCTACAGATCTATAAGTGATCGCTTTGGTGTTACGATGTCCTCGACTCATCGTGCTGTGAGAAGATGCATAACTGCTGTAGTGCAAATTGCAGACCAGTATATTTGTTGGCCAGATGAAGGTATTTAAGGCATAGGAAATAAACAAAATATTTTTATAGCTTTCCTTCCATAGATCTTTAATTACTTAAGACATCTGAAGCATAAATATAAATAGTCTAAATATATACAATTTAATTGGACAAAAATTAGTAACAGGTTGAATGAATGATATCTTTATATACTCCAACTATTAACACTGTTCAAAATGAAATATATTGTATAAAAACCATCGCTTTTAAGTTTGTAAGGGAAAATGAAATGCAGATCATAAACATGTTGAATAAATATTGTTAACAGTGGATAAAATGTTTATAATTCTAATTCATATTTTAATAACATTTAAACCACTTTCTTCATCATTAAGGCTGAAAATTGACTTTAACTCTGCCAGGTTTTACCTGCCGGTCCCAAGCCCGGAATAAAGAGGAGGGAAGTCAGTGCTTCTAAATATTTCTAATTATTTTTTTTCTATTTCAGTTAGATTATGCATTGCCTTCTTTAATACGGCTGATATTAAATTACTACAGATTTCCAAGGTTTTACCTGCTGGTTCCAAGCCACGAAGAATGAGCCAGAAATACATTGCTATTTATTGTCTTCATTTAAATTACGATTACAATCACAGATTCAACATCCTTTTTTTAAAACAGATCTTGTAAGTGACTTTAACTCTGCCAGGTTCAATCCACAGGCAATTGTCTCTTAAAAAAAAGAAATTATAAATAATATCAGAGACAAGCGCCTGTGGTTCAACCTGCCGGTCCCCAGCCCGGAAAAAATGAGGAGGGGAGTCATTGTTACTTTTATAAATGTTTCCAGAGGTGTATAAATACGTAAATATTACAATTTATAACTGACATAATACATGTAATATGACCAACTGAAATTTGTTTCTAGATAAACAAGCAGAAATAAAAAATAAATTCAAAGCCATCAAAGGTCTTCCAGGAGTGATAGGAGCTGTGGATGGGACCCATATCAGTATCAGAAAACCAACTGACCATCCACAGAGCTACCTGAACAGGAAGAAAGATTACTCAATAATTCTGCAGGTAATAAATTTGGATAAAAAATTGATTGATTGATTATTGGTTGCTTAACGTCTAGTGGCAAATATTTCATGCATGTTCAGGACGGTAGATAAAAGATAATAGTTACATCTTTATAATCAGCCACCTATTTCAAATTCTGAGATGAAATAACACCAGTTAACATGGTTAATTTTATCTCTGCTGATATTTTACTTGCAAAGTTTTTTTTTATACCTGAATGTTACCTTTTCCAATGTTTCTTCAATAAAAAAAAAATTAAAAATCTTTACTTTGAACTTTTTTATTTGCTTTTGAACTTACAAACATTTTTGCCTGGTGAAGAAACGTAAAAATATTAAGGTACTTTATACAGGTATTAGCATTTGATATCAAAATATTTTTCTAGCCATTTAGGTGACGAAAAATATAACATAGGTAATACATATATACCCTATTGAATTATTTCACATTTCAAAGGGTGTTTGTGATGCAGACATGACCTTCCTAGATGTTTTTGTTGGTTGGCCTGGGTCGGTTCATGATGCCAGAGTACTTAGGAATTCACCACTAGAAGAGAAAGTTTCCCATATGCCAATTGAAAGCCATCTATTGGGAGATGGCGCCTATCCACTGACTAAGTATAAATCATTAAAATCTTTTGATACACTTCAATTAATGCTTCTCTAATTAATTCCACCTTATGTGATAATGTTGTATTTTGATTGGATGAGAGAAATGGTATTTTTCACAAGAGATAAGTACAGTTCATCACAAATGATTAGTTCAGTGTATCACAAATGATTAGTACACTTCATCACAAATGATTAGTACAGTTTAACACAAATTATTAGTACACTTCATCAAAAATGATTAGTACAGTTTAACACAAACTATTACTTTACTTCATCACAAATGATTAGTACAGTAACACAAATGATAAGTACAGTTTAACACAAATGATTAGTACACTTCATCGCAAGTGATTAGTACAGTTCAACACAAATGATTAGTACAATTTAACACAAATTATTAGTACACTTCATCGCAAGTGGTTAGTACAGTTCAACACAAATGATTAGTACAATTTAACACAAACTATTAGTACACTTCATCACAAATGATTAGTACAGTTTAACACAAACTATTAGTTTACTTCATCACAAATGATAAGTACAGTTTAACACAAATGATTAGTACACTTCATCGCAAGTGATTAGTACAGTTCAACACAAATGATTAGTACAATTTAACACAAATTATTAGTACACTTCATCGCAAGTGATTATTACAGTTCAACACAAATGATTATCGGTTATACATTTCATCGCAAATTAATAGTAATTTTCATCACAAATGATTAGTTCAGTTTATTACAAATAAATAGCACAGTTGAACGCAAATGAATAGTTGAGAGAGATTTAATAGTAACTACTGAAAGAAGACATGTCCAATAAATCAGAATATTAATTTCCTAACAAGAGTATACACAAGTTTTGAATAATCTGACTTAAACAATCAAAGGTTTGCCTGCAACATCAGTCTTTTAAATCTAAGTAAGAATAAAGGATTATACTATTACGTTTAAGACACTTTTCAATTAATTACTTAACTTGTTCTACATGTATTTACAAATAAACATGAAAATGTGTCAACAATTTTGAGCAAAAAGTCATGTGAAGCAATCATAGGCAGATCCGTGGGGGGGGGGGGCTCTTTTTGTTGATTATATAGGGAATCACTGAAGCATGACTGGAGCAGGCCCCCCCCCCCTTACAAAAAGTTCTGGATCCGCCACTGGCAATCCTCATTTTATAAGCAACATGGACTGTAAACAGGAGTAAATTTCTAACTATATCCTTTTTAAACACTACATTTGTGTTATCAAAATCATAAATGTGGGACACTATCTTAAAATTACAGTCCACTTATTGTATGATTTCAGTGGCCTTATTATATGATTTCAGTGGCCTTATTATATGATTTCAGTGGCCTTATTATATGATTTCAGTGGCCTTATTATATGATTTCAGTGGCCTTATTACACCCTACAGAGACACAGGCAGACTGGCAACTGAGGATTTGAAATTTAACAAAGTTCATTCTGCCACAAGAAATAAAATAGAGTGTACCTTTGGCCTATTGAAAGGCAAATGGAGGCGTTTAAAATATTTAGACATGTTGGACATACCATGCATGGTTAATTTGATTTTTAGTTGTACTGTTGTACATAATTTTGTTATTCTCAGGGAAGGTACTCATCTTGATGATGAGTTTGATGAAGAAGACAATCTTCAACCTCCCAATTTAGATGTGCCAACACGTTTGGCATTTCAAAAGAGGGATATGTTGAAGATGTCCATACAGTAAATAGTATCTTGTCCCCAGGTTTTATTATTATTAAGGCTCCCAAACGAAGACTTATTGTTTTTGCTCAGTAAAATTTTCGAAATGACTGCCGCTTAGTGTCAATGGAGGAAGGGTGCTTCCGCTATTGCTTGCAATGGCAAATCTAGTTATAATTATTATTCATCATCTTCCTCTTCCGCCACTTTTAAATTTGATCTTGTCCGCACCCGTTCTCCAAAAACACTTGTCAGATTAACTTAAGCTTTCACAAAATGTTAGGCTATCATGTCTAGTGGTGCAATCATGGTTTTGTTTGTGCATTGGGGTCTAAAAAGGGGTACTTTGAGGGGCCAAAAGAAGGGAGGGGTCTACTATAGAACCCTATGGGATTTTATTTTTTTAAATTTTCAAATGATTACAAATTGAAAACCGTTTGTGATAGACACAATCTTTTTAATTGAAAATGTTCTAAATGATAAAAGCACATTAAATGAAATACAGGGTTAGTCCCCAGGAGTCACCCCACCCCCTGCCATTTAAAAAAGTTCTAATACCTTGTCAGTGGTCAAGATCCCCACCCCTAAACCATATATATTCTGGTTTGTCATGCTAAGATAGTTTAAATGGTATACAGGGTTAGTCTCCAAGGGTCATCCCCACCCCCTGCCATTTGTGAAAGTTCTAATATCTTGTAAATGGTCGAGATCCCCACCCCTAAACCAGATATATTCCTGTTCGTCATGTCTCGAACATTTGAATGACGTATACAGTCAGTCCCCATGGGTTCCCCCCAACCCCAATGTTCTAATATCTCGTAAATGGTCGAGATCCCCACCCCTAAAGTTGCCTAAACCATATATATTCTGGTTTGTCATGCCAAGATGATTTGAATGATATACAGGGTTGTTCCCCAGGCATCACTAATGTATATAACTTCTGACTTTATAATATACTATCACTGTTAAGTTCTAGGTTTCTTTTAAATTCACCTAAGTACATCCTTAAGAAAATATACATTTTCCAAAAACATAAAAACACAATTATTTAAGATTAACTTTGGGTTATGTCTGTCAAATTTTCAAGACATGATTAGATATTAAAACTCAGATATTCCTTTATTCTCATACAATTTTGTGCTAAAAGTTTGTACTTAAATTAAGTAGTTCATATCGATTTGAAAATAAGTATCATTTATTATTTCATGCATAGTCACACAGGTTTCATTTCAGTTGATTTTGATCTAGGTCAATTTAGTTATTTTACCATAACTTTCAAGTTATAATTATAAGATGTTGAAATCTATTTAAATTTTTATCAATAAATTACATAACATTCTGTTATATGAATACTATAAAAGTTTGCCATGATGATAGAAACTGTGATTACAGAATTAACATACTTATCATTGTTTGTTGAAAAAAATTCCAACATTATTGTTTTAAACTGAAATTGAACTTGCTATGACCTTTTTTTAACTTGTTTACCTCCACCAAACATTATAAATACCTTTACCTAAATGGGATGCTGTTTTAATCAGTGCTTTATACAATTATCTGAAATAAACCTTCACCAATAAGTATGAATCATAGATCTATATATATATAAATAAGAAAGATGAATACCTTCTCTGCAGAATAGGTATGTATATTTTCAATCGAAATGTCTCATATCTAAAAGCGAAATATTTTTCTCACTTGTCTTTATTTATTTATTGAGCAATCCTTGGAGAATCCTTGCATTAAATTTTTCTTTTTTATTAATGGCATTCATTTTAATGAAGGATATAGATTGAACCAATGGCTCCGTAAATAGGAATTTTTAATTTGTTTAAACTAACAGTTATGAATACAAATACAACTTCTAATGTAAAAATAAATATCAGAAGGAAAGGGGGAAACAGATTTTTTACAGGATTGTTATATTTCGTGCAGAAGAAGATAAAACAAATTTGAAATTTAATTCTATAATCTACTAATGATAATGGAAGATGAATTGAAAAGCTAATGAACTAACAAAACAACATTCAATCCAATAAAAGTATAGTTACATGTGGTAGAATTTTTATTTATCTGGTGTTGTAAATCCTGATTGTAATAAAAACATTTTTAACTGTTCAAGAAAATATTTGAAAGTATGTTTCAATTACAAATGTATCAGATAAAATATATGAACAAGTAAAATTTTGGTTTTCATTTATATGCAGAGAAAATGACTGTTCTCGCAGAGTTTATCATAATAAAGCATGATATGGATAATAATCACAAAAGTAAATGTTTATGTACTTCTGAAATTTTTCAATACTTAATATCTCTAAATTAAAACTGTTTAACTTTGCCAAAGTTGTAACTTGTCAAATTATTATTAAGAAAAAACTGACCATTCATAATTAGATATAAGAAGATGTGGTATGAGTGCCAATGAGACAACTCTCCATCCAAGTCACAATTAATAAAAATAAACCATTATAAAGCTGCATTAAGTGTTATTGGATTGAATGTTGAAAAAACCTGGGTTACTCATTTATTGCAACTATTCTTAAACACATTTATAAACTCTCTCATTAACTCACATCTCTCTTTATTAATCTCTTTCACCATACCTTCAAACCTTTCATATCTCTCTTCCCTCTCCCTCTTCATTTCCCCCAATGAGTCTGCTAATTCATTAGCTTTCCTTTTCCTAGGTTGTTTCCCCTTTCCCTCTTTTTCTGTTTTCTTAACTTCACAACTCAAATCCATGGAGGAAATGGTTTTAGCTGGACGGATGTTGGGGTTGTCCCCAACAGCTTCTTCCATTTACTCCATGTATTTGAAAGAGTGAGTGCCCTCTCCACTTTTCCTGTTCTTGTCCTCAATTTGCTTAAACTTTGTTTCAAGCTTCTGCCACTTGGATTTCAATTGAATCCAAGTGACAGACTGAGACTCTTTACTGCTCGTGGCATTAAATTTGATGGCAATTATCTCCCAAACTGCCTTTTTGGTAATTCTACCCTCTTCAAATTTGAAGGAATACTCTTTACGATGTCAATAAGCCGTTTTATACTCGAATCATCCCAGATGTATTTCTCTGAAATTATATTTAATGCTACTTATTTTTCATGTTAACATGCATCACTTATTTTTCATGTTAAAATAGATGTATCATTTCAAATCCAGATGAAGTGAACTGTTATTACCAAAGAATTTAATTTTGGATGTAACGCGTCTTCTGATTGGCTGACGTTGTTTTGTTTATCTGCTCATAGACATACTTTTGTCATGTGATTGTGACATCATCAAAGTCTTTTCATGGTTTACTCAGGTTTAAAATGGAATTTAGAATTAAATTATAAGAAATGACTGTAATATTTTTTCTGTCTATTTTAAATACACAGGTTATTCAGTGTGCACCACATATTTGATGTTATTTCTTCATAGACAGAAAAAATATTACAGTCATTCCTTAAATACATTTTGTTAAATTGTTGGATTATTGTTCGTGCACCTTTTGGCATCTAACATCTGTTAAGCTTGATTGTGGATGAAATGAACTATTACAGTAATGCCCTTTTGTGGTTATGTAGCTGCACCCAGATATACCTATAATAACTAGAATGCATAAATGTAGTTAATAGTAATAGAATTTATTAATTTATTCAAAGCCATGAGAACTTTACAATGAGGCTTATATTTTGTGAAATGAATCAATTATTAGTTTTTTGCATCATATCAACTGTCATCACCATAGAGTCAACATTTTTAGTTTATAGTGTTTTTTCTTACTTATATTTTTTTTTCTTTGAGTTAATGAATTTCAACCTGTTTTTAGTTTGCTAAATCTGAATCACATACATATTTAACACTGCAATATTCAATATGTGTAGTACCAAATTCAATCTGTTGAAACTGGTCAGTGTGAGTCATGATTTATCCCACAATGAATATAAGGTTTTATCAAAGAAAATTATTTATGCTTTCAGCCATTGAGAAAAGATATTTTTTAATCATATAATAATTGTTTTTGTATACCATGTATACCATCTTTTAATGTTAGGAAAAAACTGATATAAAGGGCTTTATTTGACCTGTTGATACTAATTGTAATGCTTTTTTGTTATTTAATGTTATTCTGGGTTATAGCTGGTCTATATACCAGCTTTGATAAGTATTTGGTATTACTATAAATTTTCACTTCTTCGTACTATGAACATCAAAATTATTTATTTTGTAAAAATATTTCCTTTCTCCATTTGAATTGTACACGTATACCTAACAACAAAATTATTTTCATTTACCTGTGTTTAAAGTAATTGCAAATGGCTGATATTTTTGTTCAATCATATTGTTTTTCTTAAATTGTTTAACATTTCACAGTGGTAGAACATGTTACTTTAATTATTCTTCCCTAAGTTTATTTATTTTGTATTTACATTGTATCATATATCAAATTTATTTGTTCAGTGTATGTTCACTGGTGTTAATATGTCTTTTGATTGAGTTAAGCCATTTCAATTGATATTTTTTTGTGGTGTGTCTTTCTATGTTGTGATGTTACACTATTGTTCCAGATAAGGGTGAAGGTTTGGTACCATTAAAAAGTTTAAAGCCGCTGCAATTGTTTGCACCTGTCCTAAGTCAGGAATCTGATGTTCAGTAGTTGTCGTTTGTTGATGTGGTTCATTAGTGTTTCTCGTTTCTTATATAGATTAGACTGTTGGTTTTCCCGTTTGAATTGTTTTACACTAGTAATTTTGGGGCCCTTTATAGCTTTCTGTTTGGTGTGAGCCAAGGCTCCATGTTGAAGACCGTACTTTGACCTATAATGGTTTACTTTTATAAATTTTGACTTGGATGGAAGAGTTGTCTCATTGGCACCCATACCACATCTTCTTATATCTATTTATGATATACATTATAATTTTTCATCTTATGATTAAATTCCAACATTTAATTTTTTTTTCCATTCTGTTAAATCTGCAAACACATGTTATAAAAGTGCATACCATTTTCTTCCTCTGCAGCCTTGCTAGTTGATGGTACTTCTTGGTCTGCAACTATGTTCTCAACACTGGTACTTGTTGATTTAGCTATTAAAATAAGTTTATCATAAATTAATCTTTGGAATTTTTTTTTTTCAGAATGAAGAACTTTAGTTTGAAAAGAATGATTGTTATGTCATGTCTTTAAATATTAAAAAAGTATTTTTTATGTCTTTGATTGTTTTGTTTTAATAATGACTTATCTATGTTAAAATTATAAAAACATTGAATCAAATCTTAAATTGAGTATCATTTGAAGTGGATATTAAGATTTAAAAATTTTGTCTGTTGGAGTTTAGAAAAAAGGAAAGAAAATATGTTTACAGATATGAGTATATGTTAAATATTTTTTTCTTTTTTTCACAAAGAATTTTTAAGAACAAGTTGTCATATTTGTGGTATATAAATATTGTTTCCTCGTTATATTCACTTAAATTTTGTTATTGGAATAAGGTTTAGATGAAATTAATCTAGTAGT